AATAAAAACACATCTCGAAAAATACACAGGTGCTAGTATGTTTGTGAAAGACAAAATTGGTTGGGCTCTGTTAAACAAAATAGTTTTTGTATATTTGAGTCAGACTTCAGAAATCAGCTAACAAAGTACCAGCTTTGATTTAATGAGGCTTTTCTAGTCTCTATCTACATCAAGTTATTAAAGTAATTGTCTCATCCTTTAAATCAAACTTCCAGCGCAAAAGCAGAGAGTTAAAGAAGCAACAGGTGCTGATCCAGAAGGTCTGGATCCGTTGAGCTCCAGGGATCAGTTGCTCACACAACATTCAAACCACTGCCTAAGGCTCACACCGTGCTGTCAGGTTCAACACAACTACAGCTCTGATTCCGCTTACATGCTACGGAGACTAGCGCGACAAAACAACCTTTGACCTGAGACAATGCCACACACCAGTCTTCGTTTTACATCTCATGTCTGTCAGAGCAGAGATGAGGCCAAAGAATGTACACAGATAAAATGAAGGCTGAACCTCACACAGCCAAGCTTCAGGCTTCAACCATCTATGAAGCTGAACACCAACAGTGAGTCTGAGCAAAGCCAATGAAAAGCCACACCGACATAAAGCACCGATGTACCTGGTAAAGGACTCCTCTGAAATACAAACATTCAAAACACATTTTACAAAACGTTACCTGTAATTTTCCACGAGACAGACATATACATACAGTCATAGAACATTGATAGAATGTGCATATGTGCTAAACAGGTTGGTTAATCTGACAGTGAATAGTTGGCAGGAAGAAAAGAGAGGTTATCTAACTTACAAAGTTGGGTTGTGAGGTTTACTTCAGAAACATCCTCCGATTTTAGTTTTAGGAAGGCTTTCCATCCATAAAGTGCATATAAAGATGGCGACATGGATGCTAAGACACAAATTAAGCCAGGGTGCCACTGTATGACTTATTCTTGCAATTACTTGCTATTATCATTCAATTTGGGAGTATGAGAGACAGAGGAGCTCTGAAATAACCCCCATCAACACGAGACAGATTCAGAGCAGGTCAGAGAACTGAGATAAGACCGACTGAACAGTCACAAATCCCGGCAAATGGGTTAGTTGAGACCAGAGAACAGCTCTGCTACTGAAGCCATGCAAAGATAAAAAGAAGGGTAAATTTTCAAACACAGGTGTGAGGAGTGACAGGTAGTTAGGAGGGTGGCGAGGAGGTGGAACTGTACGTACTTACTATGGCAAAAGGTACTCTTTTGTATTTCCATCTCCTGATTGTAATCGCAGCCACAAAGAAGAAAAAGCACAAGTAGAAACAAATGTCTATGCAGATCAAACCACAGGCACTGTGTTAAAATTAAAAAAAGGAAACAAATGAAATAAAAAAAAAGAATGGTTGGGAACCATTCTTAGTAGACCCCAAAAGATGGAGAATGGAAGTGAAGGGGTAAAAAAGATACTGTACACAGAGAGACAGGTTATATAAAAACATTTTCCATATTAGATTACACCTGCGTTCAAAGCCACCCATCCCTTTCCTCCCTTTGACGATAACTTTGCTGTTTGCAGACTTTAGCTCATATAAGAAAACGTGATGTGTGATGATGTCAATTATTCTTTTGAGGCTAGTCTGAGTATTATCATGGAAGATACTGCTGACATAGGTGTAATCCAATAGTAATAAAGACCAAGAGGAAAAAAACAAAAAGTAAAAGAACAAAAATAGAAATGTCTGCACTGGGGTCCATTAAAGTATCAGAATATACTCGTTTTTCATATGTATGTTTATATATATATTTATATATATAATCTATTTTTTCAGTGTCACTTGTAGCTTTTCTTAAATATTTCCTGAAATTGAGGCTGTAGCTTTGTTATGATTATGTTCCCCTGAAGTGATCCATCTGTTATAGCATAAGTCTGATTAAATACCCCAAACCTCTTGGCCTGTTATTACAGAAAACACAGCACAGCATCTGTAGTAGTATTATTAAAGACCACCACAACAACAGACCCCAAGACAGACAGGCAGGTGTATAGGCAGGAGCCTCTGCATTCCCCGTGTCGACCCTAGAAAGAATCAAACCACCCAGCCATGCTGAACCACACAGGACCAGGCCGGGTAAGTTGAATACACCAGATCAACGTACCTTCCTCTGCTCTGACTGGGGTGCTGGGGGGTGTGGAGGTGATTTTTTGGCCTTTTGGCTCCTCCACAGGTTCTGCTAGTTGCTCTGGGTCTGCTTCTGGAAGGAAATCAGCAGAAATAAAATAGTAAGAATCAATAAGCTCAAATTAATAGGGAATATGAAATCAAGACACAACCTGATCTGGGTTTTTGCCTCCGCCAAGTCACGTTTTCATCTGTTTTTGTCGTTTGCTAGTTAGAAGGCCCAAGGAAGAATTCATACATTTTTGGTGTGAATCCAGACCAGGGGACAGATCAAGGAATGTTTTTCACTTCAACCAACACTGTGTGATAGGGCCTTTTTCGAGTCATTTTTAGGTGACTGATATTTATGTGGGCAATATAGTGTTGATCCAAATAAAAATCTGGATCTAGTGAATTTAAATGTGGTTTCGTAAGGGGACTGTTGGGCCTTGGCGGAGGTATGCACCCTTCTGAATGTGTACTCTGGTTTAAAATTAATTTATAGTTTATTTCGATACAATTGAATTTTACTGAAACTGGCTAAATGTATGATTCATTTTTGACAACAGACAAAGAAAAGGGAAGACAGCACACAGGACCAAACCAAGAAGAAGCAATAATCCGGAGGACACTGCAAACCTTTTCAAACAAACCCCAATAAAATGAACCATCAAATATCCCAAAAGCAAAACTATCATTAATTTCAATGGAAAACAGTGAGAGGCACAAGAAGGGGAGTAGACAACAAGAGAGATATTGTCGGGACAGGTTAGCAGGAAAATAAGGACGACACCATTATTCAAGTCCACACTTAAGATGCTCTGATTGGATGATTGAGCTCAGACACAGCTTTGTTAAATGGTAGCACAACACTCCATGGCAAACATGATTTTTTTTTTACTTGAGATTTGAGCATCCTGAAAGAGAGGAGATGGGTTTCACATCTCAAAAATGAGCACCTCCTCTCTCTTCAGCTACTCCTCCAATCAAACTGCAGAAAGGTATCTGATCTGCCAGAGCTCTGATACCTTTGGACAAGACATCAAAAAGAGGGATCGGGGAGAAAAATAACCAAGCAGAGGCTTTAAGAGATTGAACTGTGGGTAGGGAGGGCGTTTGCACATGTAAAAAAAAAAAAAAAAAAATGGCAGCAAACTCCAAACCCCACGAAAAAGTAAAGGACACAGCAGGCGGGGGGGATGCCCAGATTCCCAGTATAGCAGCATGTTGTGAGGTGGACCAGGACTGAGCAGGGGAGGAGGGAAGCGGAAGGCCAGAGTTTAGGCAGGACTCCGCTTCATCTGGTGTACCTGGAGCCTGGTCCGCCTTAGCTGCCTCTACCACTGACGGCTCCTTGTTGAGGGCTCGCAGCACAGCGCAGTGGAACTCTTTATGTGGCGAATCTGGAGCTGAAAAAACATCATCTGCTAGGGTCCCTGCAGATGAAGTGCCATCCCGGGTCGCCTCTGCCCCACTGGAGAGGCCCACGGAAAAAGTAGTCTGCTCAGAGGCCGGAGTAGCAGCTACGGCTGCTGTAGGCGGGACTTTCTCTAAGATGAGTGAGTCAGTTTCCAACTGTAGAGATGTGGAGACGGAAGCTTGACCTCTTGGGGGTGTCTCAGCTTCAGGACAGGATTCGGCTGATCCCTCCCTACTAGCGTCTTGTCCCTGCACTGTGAATCCATGAGCTTGTGTGTTTGGAGAGATAAATATCACAGTTTGGCCAATTTCAAGTTTAATAGAGTTTTGCATGATTTTCAAGGCTCTTTTCCCCCTTTATATCAAATGATGGCCCCTCAAGATACAGTGAAATTATCACAGCTCAATGACCCTTGTATCAATGCTTGCAGTGTAGATTTAGCACAGTGATATTGTTTTTCTCTGTGTAATATACCCTCATCTGCCCCAATATAAATTACAATCAGACCGATATATTGATCCTCAGCAATATCAGCTAATGCAAGTTTTTCACAAACAAATTGTTCACGCCATTTATGTTTGCCTACAAAAAACTCAGATCCATGTCGTTACAAAGAGGAGGTTTAGAAAGAATGTTCCGTATTGAATTTCCTTCATCCTCTGTCATGTTTACCTTCAGGCCCTTTTTGTTTCTGTTCCACTTCCCTGCGGTACTCCTCTAGCTCCTTGTCAGTGAGTTTGGTGAAGGGGTTGGGACCCTGCTTGCTGACGATGACCTTTGGCTGGTACTCCTTTTCAATGATGGCCTTGGACGCGGTCACGAGCTCCCCCTTTAGGACACACAGAAGAAAGTTGGGAAAAGATGAGACATCGACTTAGGATGCATTACAGTTACTCTAGGTCGCACATGGAAGAATTAAATATTATTACAAGATAGCCACAGTGTGAAATGCTTTCTCTCACAGTTAAAGTGTGAAAAACCTGATTATATACTACACAGCATGAGCAGACATACCAACATTAGCAAAAAATTAGAGCAAAAAGGCAATTTCAAAATTCAAGAAGCACATGCTATGATAACACTGGTTAATTCTTATTTTATTACGGAACAGTAGGGTTATTCCCTTTTTTCATTCCTTACAATAACACTCTTAAATGAAAGTCAACTAAAGACAAATTTAAATAAAGTTTATTGTAAATTACCAGAATATTAGTTAAGGCACAACTGCATTAAACTAATGAAAAGCAATAATTGTGCTTTTCAAACCAAAATCGTTTATAAAATTCAATAAATTCAATCAGGTATTTTTAAATTGTGTTTGATTTATGCAGTTAACCCATAATTTCCTGGATCTAGCACCTGATCACCTGAACTTGTAACAATAGATTTTTTTTTAAATCGTGAAAATCAAATACAGGTCGCAATAGATTCATAGCTGCCACAAAAGCATCAATTTAACAATCCAATGTATTAACAGTTTAGGTCACAACTGTATTATAACAAGCATAATGAACTGCCTCATCCTAGAACTATCAGCACTTCATCTGCACAGGCTCAGATATCAAGTGTCTGCTGGCTCAGCGAGGAATGCCTGACTGCAGGATGGTGTGAAGTACGGGTGAATGGTATTTGTGACTGGAGCATTAAGTACCTTTCTAATTGATTTAGCAGGACTATAGGACCCCTCGGACACATCAAGGCCATCAATAGTATCTGTACAGTCAGACAGAGGGGCGTCCTGCAATAGTAAACCCAGTAAGGTGGGGGGGAAGGGGCACAACCCAGCTCTTAATCACCAGCACAGTCACATTAGCAGTCTGTCAGGCAGGCTTGAGTGTGAGCAGAAGTTCACAAACATACCACAGCTCACACACTCACAAAGGTGGAAAGACATCGCTCAATAATGAGAACTATGGGCCTACCTAAGTGTTACTTACGCTGATATTAGTTAAATATGATCTATGTCACATAAACAGCAACCAGAGCCTGGATGATATTGATTATTTAAATAATTATTATTATATCTGATAGGATATATTGGCCGATACATCTATCAAAAAAATAATTTTTTTTTCAACCTTTCTGACAAAGAAATGTAATTGAGGTTTGATCTTTCACAATTTGACAATAACGTATCGGCTCATTTTTAATCAGCCAAATGATATATCAGTCAGGCTCTGATAGCTACTTAGAGAAACATCTATAATTATTGCAGAGAGCCCATTTGTCATATCCCTTATGTAATAAGAATACGCACAAAAACAAAATCACTAAAATTTTAAGGTTGAGGGGCTAAATTTTAAGAGGTCTCCTTTCGGTAACAAAACACAAGGTGAGTATTGTATAATCCTGGTAAAAAAAAAACTGTTGATCTGATTTGTCAACCTGACTTTTCAAAAGTAGCAGCATCCTTTAAAAATCAACATGAAAAATACAGAACTTATCTTAATAATGTCAAAAAGAAGACATACTACTTTCCACCTCTGCATACACACATAACACACAGGTTTATATGTACATAAACACCGGATGGTACATGCAAAGAGAGATGGTTCTGGAAAAGCGATGGGGCTGTAAAAAGCATAGCAGTCTTGGAACAAACAGCCAGGAGCATGCATCATAAAGAAACTATTCACAAGAGGTGAGAAGGCTGTGCGGCATGTGGCTCATATAGTCTGATCCTTAGTGAAATATCAGATCATCAACATCTCCTTCGGTTTTGGCACTGACAAGCCAGGGAAGTTTAAAACTAAAACTAGATTAACACAATTGCCCTTTAAACCTGCCTGTTTGGACTGGGCCATTCTCTTGTCCTGTGTTAATACTCCAGAGTTACTTTTCCTCTTCATTAGTGAGTCCTCAGTTCTACTTGGTCTATGGTGCAGAGTGAAGTTAGAAAACTGAGTTCATCCTATCTCATTTATCTGCAATGATATTAAAGTCAATGTTTTTCATAAAATGAAACTATATTACTATTCACTGTGCAGTTTATATGCAAGTTTGAATAATTTATTTGGCAATAGACACAGCCTTTAGAACCAAGTTCACAACTTTTCGATGTAAAAGCTCTATGACTCCGCTTGGTATAAAACATTACAGCAACGAAACGTTGTGTTTTGACTTTGTGTACAAATTGCCATGACAGACCTGTGCCGTGTGTCTGTGTTTCAGTCCAATACGGTGAAATAAAAATTATTATCAAATTTTGACTCATGGTTAGACCCACTTGTGCTGCTTTAGTTATCAGCTGATGTAGACAATGTTCAACCCAGTCTGCAGACTGACCGTTCAGGCACACTTAATTTGCCCGTGTTCCGCTTCTCATGGTGTTTGTGTCCATCTTGCCAATTAGAAAAAATGTACTTCCCCCTCCAAGGAAGAGTAAATCATGCAAACCAAACCAAACCCAAAAGAATATTTTAAGCATTCATTCTGTGTTTTCCATTGTACCTCTCAAAAAAAGATAAAGGATGCATGCACAGGAAAAAAACAGTGACAGGGGTTTTCTTGAAGATTTCAAGATACCAAATGCTGAGGATAAGTAACAGCCTAATCTCTGAACAACTGAACAGAACAAAACCCTGATGTATGAAAATGGAGACAACCTGAAGCTGGCAGGTCTGGAGAGCAGAGTGAGGTTACCTCTCCCACATGTTACTCACCTGCCACATTGACAATCTCTGTGGTTAGAAAATAATGTCAGAGTTACAAAGTCACTCCATGCTCTGGTACACAACATGGAGGACATGTTCTTTTAGTATTCATAAAGGAAGATTCTCCTTGACAATACTGATGTCGGAGCAGATAAAATAATATTTTTAGTTGCAACCAATTTCTTTCTTTACAGCTCAGTGTAGAGGGCAACTTCATACAAAAAGAATGCAGATTGCAGCGTTTTAGTTCCAGGGTCGACTCCAGACCTGGAAAGAATCATTTGTAGTTTAGGGGGTTTTTTTGTAGCTCAACAGAGGAGACAAAATTTCAATTGTTTCATCTGCATGAGACAGATATTTCTCTCCAGGTCAGGATAGTTGTGGCGGTGGTTTTTAATGTGGTGCCTTCACAGACTGACCTGGGTAAAGGTGCGTTCCCCAACGGTGCTGGCACAGAGAACCTGAGACTGGGGTCCTGCTGTCTTAATGTCCTGCAGGTTCTGCTCCCGGATCTAAACAAAGTGACAACATTTCACGTTATGAAGGAACGAGAGGAACGAGCATTCATCATTACCATTATTCTAATGCAATGCCAATAACCAGAAAAGCATCAATGAGCAAACAGAAAATAGGTCTTGTTACCTTATTACGCATTTCCAGGACATCCTTTGGGTTGGTGTTCAACGGGATGAACTGATTGGCTACGGCAGCCTGGCGGAGGCCATCTTCCTTTGACCACTGTAAACACCAAATAACGTGTTTTAAAAAAACAACTAAAACCAAGTCTAGAGACTGACATGAAAACCCAAGTCCAAAAATAGATCCAGACAAAATATTTTGCAGGCTTCACAATACAAGAATCATGCTGAACTGAAATGAACAGAGTTGGATGACGGTAAAATAAAAAGCGCTTAAGGTAAAAAGGGAACCAATGATGATGAAGGAACACGGTAGAAAGCACGTTTCATTTAAACCTTAGTTTACTAAGCGGTGGGCAGTTCTACAGAATTTCCCACAAAACATATTCTCACTGATGCTAATTCATCAGCCCATGATTATTGTCCTGGTAATGTGGGATGATACAATCTAATAGAGGAGAGTGTTTTTGATATTTGAACACCAAGTGAAATGGAGCCTATGTTATTTTTTAGGGCTGACACAATACAAGATCTAATTTTAGGTGTTTTTACCAAACAATTGTCCCAGAGACAAATTAAAAAATGTGTCAGGGCATGTAACAAAATACATTTAAATCTGATT